GAAGGGTATTTTGTACAAATTAAATACCTGCCTGGTTCTGAAACTTGATTCGGATAAGATACCTGTTTTCGGCATTATTAAAACAACTATCTGCAATGAGAAAAAAAGTAATCGTTCAATGCAACATGTGCACAAACGTTGGATTTAATGAAAACCTTCATTCCTATGAAATAATTAGTACAAATAATTACAATTTCTTTCAACTTGACACATTGTTGACTAATTTTCCATGTATCCTGCACCGAATGGCAAGCGGTCAATTATTTGTCACATTAAAATATGTAATTTAAATAAATAAATACTAAATACTTTATAAATACTTTCATAATTATATAGGTAACAATAAAACCGCAATTAACTAGAAAATTATACATTTTTATGTGAAATATTTTTTATAGCTCAGTTTATCCGTGAAAATATTTTTTCTTATAATAAAGCGCTCGCGAATTTTAGTTTCGGCGCTCGCAAATTCAAATTGGATCGGACTTACATTAACGCCGCGTTTCGCATAATGTCAGCTTTTTCAGTCGTCGTCCGCTGTGCTGCTTGGCTGCTTGGCTGCTCGGGCTGGTGAGTCCGTGCGGTAGGTCGGGGCCTTCTCCGGTGTCGTTGATAACACTCGTCGGCTACTACCGTAGTTTCTCTCGCTCTGAATCTGGCTGGCTGTTCCTCTCCGGGATGCTTTGCCGCCGTTTGACGATCCACTTCTTTTTTGCAGGCGTAAATCTGCCAGGATGTCCTTTTTACCGGTTGGCAGATCCCACCGCTGCCACCAATTTTGTCGTGCTGCGCCGTGAATTATGTCTCAGGGCCGGTACCGGGTTTTGTTGATTCGCCGGGATGGTAAAAGGACAACACTCCGTAGATTTGTTAGCAGTGGCGTTATAATAATTGTTGGAATAGGGCAATTAGCGATGACTCGATTGTTCCGTTAATCTGAATATATTTTGTTTATACATATATCTAACGCGGGGCGGAATGACACGTGGCGCGCGGTAGAGCATACGCGGAGAGAGACTGGCCGGGCCGGCCGTGGAAGTCGGAGCGGCCCGCTTCGACGAGCGTGCGCAGTGGGGTTCATCCGGCCCCGAATCACGCGTAACACGCGTGATATACACACATCGACGTTCACGCTTTTGTATCGCCAACACCCTCTCTCAAAAGCGTAAGCGTCAAGCCATCTTATTTCTCCTTGCAGACCGCGAGTCCCAATGTCTTTGCACAGAATATTGCCTTGTATGATGTAAGTCTCTTCGTCAGAACATCAGCTGGCATCCTGTCGGTTGACAGATATTTTGGCGTGATCTTTCCCTGGTCGAATATGTCACGAACAAAATGATGTCGAGTATCAATGTATTTAGTACGGAAATGGTAGGTTCGACTTTGTATCAGTTTCTGAGCACTTTGACTGTCGTTGTAGATTATCGTATTATCTGCTGGCACACCGACCTGATTCAGGATTCGCTGTAGGTATGTACAAGGCCTCCCTTGTAAACTCTGACAGGGCCATGTACTCTGCCTCAGTGCTCGATAAGGCGACAGTTCTCTGTTTTCTAGCTTCCTATGTCACAGCTGCTCCGGCTAGGATAAAAGCATATCCGGTGTATGACCTACGGTCGTTTTGATCTCCAGCCCAATAAGCGTCGGTTACTCCAAACAGGGGTTCCTCGGTTTTTTTGTATTCTATGCCAACGTCCAATGTGCCCTTCAGGTATCTTAGAATGCGCTTTGCTGCTTTCCAATGCTGAGCATTGTAAACACGAATTGAACTGACTTAGATAGTTTAATGTTGCCAGAAACATCAGAGCGCCGATCAATTGTCGATATGGGTATCTTTCAGTTTCTCTCATGTCGGCCACTTTTGGTTTACGCAACGCACAGTTGACTTCAATTGGAGTGATTGCTGGTTTGCAATCCGACATTCCAAATTTTTCCAGAATTGCTTCTGTGTAGTCTTGTTGTGATAGGCGTATGCGATTCTTTTTGCCAGAACCTTGGACTTCTATACCCAAGCACCTACTGACCTCGCCCAAGTTTTTTATCTCAAAAACTTTGGCTAACGAAGATTTTATTTGATTGATCCAATCCAAGTTGTCTGACGCCATTAGTATGTCGTCGACATATATCACGACCAGCATAATATTATTCTTGTTTCTTGCCACGAACATACATGGATCTTGGTCCAGTTGTTGAAGTCCCAGACGCCTCAGTTTTGCTACTAGCGTCCGATGCCATTCAACGTCCGACTGCTTCAGTCCATATAAGGCTCGTTTTAGGAAACAAACTTTATTGTCATTCCATAGTTCTTTCATCCATCGTCGTGCTGCGTTCAAGATATCTTTGTCACGAACCGCCTGCCTACTCGATCCGACAGGTTGTCCAGACAATATCTTGCTCAGCATCTCCTTCAGTCCTTGTGGAATTTTCATGTAAACGTTCTCTTTCAGTTCACCGTTTAAGTAAGCGGTAACTACATCCATCTGATGTATCTCAAGCCCTAGCTCGGCTGACAAGGCTGCTAAGAGCCTGATCGACGTAGCACGAGCCACCGGCGAGTATGTCTCGTAAAAGTCTTCTCCAGCCTTCTGTGAGCAGCCTTTTGCGACTAATCTCACCTTCTTCTTTCCAGCTGGCATGCTTGGATCTTCTTTCATTTTGAACACAAATCGGTTTCCGATCACTTTTCTGTCCTTAGGTTTTTCAACGATTTCCCAGGTTTTATTCTTTATTTGTGCCAAGAATTCATTCTCCAATGCTTCTTGCCAGGCTTCTGCATCTTCCGAACTTCGTGCTTCCTCCAATGTCGTTAGATCTTCAGCCAGGTTCACGGATTCGCATTCTTCTTCAAAAACGTCGTCGTCCCCCATTTGTGTGTCACTCAATTCCTCATCCTCAATATTCTCGATCATGTTAAAAATTCTTTTTGGTCTTTCACGAGATCCAGACCTGAATAATCTTGGGTGGCCGCGTCCTCTTTTCAGATGATTATTAGCGGGCTGTTGCCCTCTCCTTGATCCTGTGAGGGGCGTGCTTGGTGCAGGCTCTTCCTCTGAATCGGTCGTGTCTTCATCTTAATATTGAGATTCAACCACGAGTTCGATATTCGAAGGCGATGAGTTTTTCGGTTTCTCTGTCTCTTCGACTTCCTCTCCCTCGTCGAGAATGTCATTGTATTCATTTTTGAAGTGCATTTTGTCCAGAAATTTTACATATCTGCTCTGACTACAATTTTTCTTGATTTCGGATCCCATAATCGATATGCCTTCGATTCTGATGAGTATCCGACCATGATGCATTCAAATGATCGCGAGTTAAATTTGCCTCTTTGAATACTTTTATCCAAAACGAAAGTTTTTGTACCAAATATTTTGAAGTAATGTACGGTTGGGACTTTTCCAGTCTATAGCTTGTGCGGTGTCTCTCTCTTCAGGGACTTCGTTGGACACCTGTTCCGCACATAGTTTGCTGTGTTCACGGCTTCGCCCCAGAAAATTCTTGGCATTCCTGCTTGTCTCAACATACACTGGGCCATCTCGTTCAATGTTCTGTTTTTCCTTTCCGCCAGTCTATTCTGTTGAGATGTATACGGAGCACTCAACCTCCTCTTGATTCCATTTTTCTCTAGATATTCGTCGAACTGTCTGTTGCAATACTCTTTTCCGTTGTCTGATTGAAGTGTTTTAATTCGTTTGCCGGTGAAGGTTTCGGCCATTTTTCTGAATGTCTTAAGGCTCCTGGGTAGTCACCGCGGCCATATTGGATTCTTACTATCGAGGCGAGGAAAACACCCAATTTTGTTGTGCATGCCATTTTCAAATAAAAAGACATTTCAGTAAAACATCACTATAGATCGTTTCAGAACACTTCCAAAATTGGCCGAAAACTACTCTTTTCCCTCGACAATAAACAAACAGCCATAAAACGAAGCCTAAACATACGGGAAAAACAGCCGTTTAACGACTATCAAAAGGAGGTGAAAACGTTCCTTTCGCATGCAAATCTTATTTTTCGGCCAATTTTACGACTTTCACGAATACGTTAAACGTTAGAGCACAAGCACAGAGCAAATAATAAAGAAATAGCACGCACAACAAAATAGGTTGTCAACATGTTACAAGACAGAATTCTCCATTGGAGAGAGTGAGAGGAGAGAGTGGCGTCGCCACCGTCAACGCAGAGTTCTCGGCTCAGAGACCAGGAGCCTTAAATTTTTCTAAAACTTCGGATTTGTTCTTGAGGAAATAAACTTCACTCCACCTTGAGAAGTCATCAATGAAAGTGACGTAGAACCTTGCACCGCTGTGGGAAGGATGCCTGAATGGTCCGCTAACGTCGCTGTGCACAATTTTCAGCACTTCGCCTGATCGATTATCTTCAGATGTCGAAAATGGAGCTCTAACTTGTTTTTCTAATATTTCACAGTCTTTCAATTCTTCAGCTGGGTTTCCTGTTATTCCGTGAACTATACCTTCTTTTATCATATACTTTAGATTACGACTGTTCAAGTGACTCATTTTACAATGCCATTTTTCTAATTCGCTTTTCGGAAAATAGTTAATGTCAACATTGTTGACTTTATCTTTGCCTTTTCTAACGTAATATAAGTCACCGATTCTGTCCGCAATTATCAGTATTTGTCCCTTTTCATCAATAACAATAGCATCGCTTTTTCGGAATTTCACTTTGTAACCACGATCCGTTATCTTTGATACAGACAATAAGTTCGTCCGAAGGTCGGTGACGTACAACACTCTGTCGAGTCTCAATGTTTTCTCAGTTTTTCCGTTGCTCACGTTTACTCGAACTTTCCCGACACCGCTGATTTTTGTGGAATCGCTATTTGCTAGGCTCAAGGATCTGTCGATTTCCTTGAAGTCTCGAAATATCTCCTCATTAGCACTCATGTGTGACGTGAGCTATCTAGACACCACAGTTTCTCTCTGTTTGTCTCAATATTCAGTAGAGCCATCTCCTCGTGGACCTCAGCTGCTGCTGCCGCTTCAGAGTCTTCCTCCTTGGCCTGATTTGCACGTCCACCAGTAAAGCGCGCTCGGCAATGTCTTGCGTAATGATTTAGTCCTCCACATGCACTTATGGCACTTAAAATCTTCTTCGTTGTGTTTCTTATTATTGCTGTCACCTCCGTGTAATGGACGACCGCCTGGTCCGTTCCGCTCACTAGCTTGAATATCTCGGCTGTTGTGTATCTTCCTGCCACCACGACCTTTGAATCCGCCACGTCGGTTGCCACCCAATTGTTTAACAAATAATGCGTTTTGCTCATTATCATTTTTGGCATTTCTCGCCTCAGATTCCTCAATAATCTTGATTTTTAGCACGTCAGGTTTGGGCAATTCGTCTCTTGTCACCATGGCGATTCGAAAACTTTCATATAAATCCGGCAAGTTGTTTAGCAAAAAAATGGCAAGTAGGTCTTCATTGATGTTCAATCCGACCTCTTCGATCTTGTCCACTAATTCAAAAAATTCGGTGATATGATCACGAATATTTCCACCGTAGTTCATTTTCATTAGTGTGATTTTTCTTAGTAAAGTTGCCTTTCGCGCTGGTCCTCTCGACTGATGCTCATTTTTTAACTTTTGCCACAGTTCATGAGAAGTATTTGTGCCTTTCACGCTCTTCAGTTCCGATTTACTTAACGTTAGGATCAATTCCGATCTCGCCATCTTGTCCTTCTTGTGCCACTCCGTGATAGCCGATTGGTTCGCACCTGTGGGCATGGGCTCCTCACATGTTCCGTTCACGTAATCCCAATGCCCTGTTTTAAATAAGTACGTTTCGACTTGTACGCACCGCATATCGTAGTTCTCGCTATTCAAAGGTTCAATTGAAATATGCGTCGGAGTCATTTTTCACCCTTTTCACTTTAACACGCGAAGGTCTTCCCGTCGCACTGACTCGTTTCACTCTTAAAAAAAGCTTTCAGTTATATATTTCAGTATACACGGTACCTGGGCCCATAACCTGTTGAGATAGGGCAATTAGCGATGACTCGATTGTTCCGTTAATCTGAATATATTTTGTTTATACATATATCTAACGCGGGGCGGAATGACACGTGGCGCGCGGTAGAGCATACGTGGAGAGAGACTGGCCGGGCCGGCCGTGGAAGTCGGAGCGGCCCGCTTCGACGAGCTTGTGCAGTGGGGTTTATCCGGTCCCGAATCACGCGTAACACGCGTGATATACACGCATCAACGTTCACGCTTTTGTATCGCCAACAATAATAAAGATATTTCTTTGATACACTTGGTTCACTTAATTTAACTACCCTGACTTGCGGGTGGAGTGATAATATGGAACAATAATACGGACGACTCGCGGTACGCGCTTTGATCTTAGACTACCCGCCGCTTATCGGAAGGGCGAGCTTTTTATCGCGCTCGGAATCATTTCCGCGTTACCAACTTAGCTGTCAGCGCTTTTGTTTCCGGGATTGGGTCAGTAGTGACTTACAAGGGAACAGTTGAAAGTGTACCTACCCGATTTGGATGCGCTTTGGATATGTTGTTGAGCATCAAAAAATATTACTCGTATTTTTTTTGCTGGTTATCAACGTTTAGGGGTTGAAACAACCCCTTAAAAATAACGACCGATTTGGATGCGCTTTGGATATGTTGTCGAGCATCAAAAAACATTAGACACGGGTTTTTTAGCTGCGTATCTCGACGTTTAGGGGTTGAAACAACCCCTTGAAAATAACGACCGATTTGGATGCGCTTTGGATATGTTGTAGAGCATCAAAAAGCATTAGACACATGTTTTTTTTAGCTGCGTATCTCGACGTTTAGGGGTTGCAACAACCCCTTGAAAATAACGGATTTTATAGTTTTTAGCAAATATCTTAAAAAATATAAGACGTAACGACAAAACATTTTTACAAAATGTTTATGGCTTTTTGTGCTCTTTACAATGGCGTAATCAGATTTTTCAAATTTGTTACATTTTTTAATTTAACCCCACTTCTACCTATTATTTTTGCCAAATATAACAATTTTTCCAACGCAAATTTTAGAGCGTCAAATGCCAAATACATCCATGTGAGTAGGCATATTATAGGGGATTTAGAATCAGGCTTACGTGACGGCGGGTCGGGGGCATGAAGCGGAACGCGTGGGGGCCGCCGTAAGCGGTGAGCGAGGGAATGGCGTCGGCAGACGGGAGCCGCCCCGCTGCTGCTTTTCTAACTCAGGATAGTGGGGGGAAGCGAGGGGCGCCACCACTCTCGCGCGGCGCGAGAGGGCGGGCCATTCCGAATTCCCTCTCTAGGTCAATCGCGGTTATCTCTCAAAGCTATTTCCAGAGTTATATGCTGCCCTATTGACATCCGCCGAGCAATAAGCGCGAGCCAAAGCGAATCCTCGCGCAATTGTATCGTCAGTTTGAAGTTTGCGAAGGTTATATTTTAATAATAACTACTAAAATCTACATTGCAGTAATCGTACCCCGACTGACGCGCGAGGCGCCTCTCCGCGGATGGATCCCCCGTCGCAACGGCGGTGCGTCGGTAATCGATCGTAGTCGTCTTAATATCTGTAGCTCCCTACTCAGAGGAAAAAAAAGGGCTGTTGACTGTTGTATATTCTTTATTGTTTAAAAAAAATATAATCTTAATAACAAAAAAAAGGTCCTTTTCACGGCTGCATCTTGTAATGCCCCCACGGTAGAGTGTCGTACGAGTCGGGAACGACGTATCGCTTGTCATCGTACGGGCTGAGAGCGAGTTTCAACTCGGACACGGTGTGTACCTCGTGTGCAGTCGAACGAATACACGACTGACGCCTAAACTGCCCTATCGCGTCGTTCAGACAACACACGTAATCGTCAAACGTTATCGTTCTCGCGACCACGTTTCTTTTGATGCCCTTTATTTTCTTCGTGTCGCTCTTTTCCTCGACCCTCAAGGCGTACATTTTTGACCTCTGTCCAACGAATTCCGTCATCACCGCGCCGTCGTTCTCGTCCTTCATCAAACCGGGTATCTTCTTGTTGACGCGCGGCATGCGATACTTGTTGTCCTTGGGATAGCCGCTTGTGTCGAATCTCGCGATGTCGCGTTTCATATCCTCGTACGCGTCGTCGCACTCGAGAAAATACTGAAAATAATAAAAAAAAAATTATTGTTATATCGTAGGCGAGCGATACGGGATCGTCGCGAACTCACCACATGTTTTTCCAGCAGTCGACGTTGTCCCGATTCGAAAACGGAGTCTCTAATTCCATCGATTGCTCGTCAATTGCTCTTCTTCTTCTTTTCGCGTTATCGACGCCGTTCTCAAGATCGTCGTCGGATTGGCGCTGTTCGAAATACGGGGCGTGTAACGTCGAACACATCTCTCTCTCTCTTTTTTTTCTTCGTTGTCGCGGTGCAGTTGGCGGATCACGCGAGAATGAGTCGTTCGAGGAAAATTGAGGCGAAATATATTTTAAGAGATAAATTACGGTTCCCCCTCCTTTCATTAACATTCTCAAGAGTGATATGTAAAAGAGGGGACGTCGAATCGTTCTATTCTTCCTCTTCTCTATTCGACGTCTCCCTCGCGTCAATTCGAACGAATCGACTCAATAGATCTCGCAGTTGCATCATCAATCCCTGTCTCGGGCAGGTAATACTGAAGATCCCAAGATCAAATTTGCCGGATGCCGTTACGGTTTTCGTAA